TTTAACCCTCTAAGTTCATTCATTTTTATTTTCTTGCAAATATTGAATAAGTAATTATGATAAAGTGATCTTTAGCGTAAATAAATCGCGAAATGTTAAGTGGTTCGTACTAAAATTATTTGTATTATTAGTCCTTTGTACGGACCCCTTTTTATCAAATTATTAACATCCGCCTAATACTTCGTGAATTGCTTTATCTTATCGCAATATACAAATTTTATATGCACAAAAATTCTCAGAAATGGAGCGTTATCTCATTATATTAATTAATTTATTTAGGTATTAAAAAACTCATAAATATCCATTTGCTTAACCCTTAAATCTTAAAATGATTATTCGGAAAATCGAAAAAAAACAACAGGTTGGGAGTGGAGGTCACGCCAAACAACCCAATACTTTTGTAGGCCACCTTTTTTCTCGATTTTGTTATCAAATTATCTTTCACTCAAAGTGGAAAGCAAATTTTCCGATTCCTAGATTGAAAGTACCCCGATTCCGAGAATTTTATTTAGTAAAAAATTGTAGATTATTATAAGATGAAGCTATTCTTGTAATTTTGGCCGGATTTTAATAATTTGATAGAAATGGGTCTGTATCGTGGAATTCATTATTGTTTCCTAATTGAAATATTTATTCCCTAAACGTAAATATAGTTTTTTTTAAAAAGAGTATAGAGGCTATATTTTCGAAAATTAACTCTATTATAACTCCAATCCTACCGTCCTTCATACATCTCCGAGCTCCTTCAACTCAAATTCTGTGTTAGTTCCCGCAATACTCGTTCTCTGTCTTCCGTTTACATTATCCGATCCTCATCTCTATGGAACTCTACCCCTTCTCACATCCGTCAATCTAATACCCTTCCTTTCTTTAAATCCTACCTGTTCAATAATTTCTTATCCATGCAGTCCCCAAAAAATTGTAGGCAGATACCATTGTAAATATGTATATAAATTATCGTTCTTCATTATTTTTACTTCATGTTTTTTTTTTATTACCAACTGATTAAAATTAGAAAGTAACTTATATTTTTTTTATTACGACTATTTAATTACTATATATTTTTGCTAATGTATCTCTGAGGCTCCTTAGCTCACATTTCTGTCTTTCTGTATTATTCTAAAGGAACTCGTCCCAGAATAAATAAAGTATTATTAATATAAACTATAAAAGAGAGAAAAACTTTTTGAGTTTTTAAAGTGGATTTTTTAAAAATGTTCTAACCCACATTTTTTTTTAGTATATTAAAGCCCCTTTAGAATTCAGTGATTTAAAAGCACCCGTCATTAAATCGCATAAATAGACATTGAAGTACATCCATTACTTTTTTATAAAAACTTGCATTCATTAGTGTCCGTAGTTTTTTCTTATAAAAACTTGAAAATCCACGTTAATAAGTTCTATACGCAAATTTTATTATGTTAATGGTTAGTTAGGGTTTATCAAAAAAATGTTTTGTTCACTATGTTTTAGTTGGTAATTAAATAAATAAAATAACTATTTAGCTATTGCTTTGCATTCAACAAAAAAGTGACACTTAAAAATAAAACACGTGTATGTGTGTGTGTGAGTATTTGATTTTTGCATATGTTACGTATGAGCATGTACGCTAGTATAGTGAATGTATAGCTATGAATGTATAAGTATGTATGTATGATTGTGTATATATGTATGTGTCTGAGCGCGTGAGTTTGTGGGATGTGTAGGCATACTTCTCACTTAACACAAAGAAAACTTAAAAAAAAAATAACGTGAGGAGGTCACGATAATAAGATGGGGAATTAAATGATAGTACACGCTCAAAAAAAATTCCTCTGAAGGTATTTTTGTTTAGAAGATATTCACACCTAAAGATTTTCGTTGTTACGAATTATTTACGTTATATGAAATAAATAAAATCTATTTATTTGTTCTAACTACTTCATTAATTAAATTTAAATATTAAATGTTGTTCAAAGTAAAGATACGTACGCATTTCTTGCCGCCTCGACTCAAGCTTGCACATTTCTGGAATTTCTTAATATCGATTACTATTATTTAGTTGAACATATTCCACTACAACAGAGGGACCTGTGGCTTCAATTAGATAGTTGTCCTGCACATTACGAAATATGTCTACAAAAATTGCTAAATGTTAATTATCCCAATCAATAGATTGGCCTTGCAGAGACTGTGGATTGGCCAATCTTAAGATAAGAACTTTTTTGTGGCAATTGAGCAGTGTGATCACGTTGTGTTAGATAGTTAGCAGATCCTAAAACACCCTGTATATTAACCCGCAAGTTCTATCACTGACACCTATAAGTTGTATAATATGACATAACTCCCTTCAAAACTGGAATCCTTTAGGCTTAAAGCAATCTTGTTGCCGGTGTCTGTCTTTTGCGAGATCAAAGGGTTAAGACTGATTACATATTTAGTGGAGCTCAGTATGTCTAGTACGAAACTATTATAAGGTAATGAGGTTATAAATATAATCATACTTCTTTGTGGCTTTTTGAAAACGATCTTCAGGATTTCATAGCCTAGTTCGGGTATTTATTATTAGAATGATGGCTAATAAAATGGGGCCATACTAGAAACTAGTATCACCGATAACGCTATAAACCAGGCTTATTTTGTGATCCATTTTTCATCGTTTTATTTTATTGAGTTACCGCTCGCCTATAAGAATCTGGAAGAAGGAAAAATAAGAATAGTCCTCGGGAGGGTAAGAAAATCTTACTCTTGTCCATACGCAACTGTGCTTGGGAAAATTAGGAGGGCAAAACATAGCAGTGTTCCAAGCATTGGAAAATGAGGGAGTGGGGTGTAACGCTATACATAAAGTAGTATCGCAATACTTAACATTACATTACATTTTGTGAGTTAATTTTAAGTTAGTGACTCCAAATTTTTTACCCTTCCTTTCTTCGCATTTTTAGTTGTACGGGTTTTTTCCTGGGCCAGAAGATACGGCAGGGGATTAATGCTAGAGTTATAAGCCCACACCACTGGAACTTGAATTCTTAATCTTCAGTTCATGCGTTGCCCTACAACGCATACTTTGCAGATGCATTAGCCAGCTTTGTCTTTTCAACTAAATGACTGAGTAATATTGGACTAGCTGGCCTCCCTTTACAATTTTTGGGAGCCACCAGATATTATGACGCCTATGCGCCCTTCATACATTTAGAGCTTAGTGCAGACCCATTTTTATCAAATTATTAACATCCACCCAAAACTTCGCAAATGGCTTTTCCTTATCGTAAACTAAAATTTTCAGAAATGTAATGTTTTCTCATTGGATTAATTGATTTAATGAGATAATAAAAGGTATACATATCCATTTGCTTTCCGCTTGATAAATTGATCAGGAAATCGAAAAAAACATGGCTTACAACAATATGGGTCCGTTTGAACTGTATAACCTCATTATTTTAAAATGTTAGTGATAGAAGTCACGTCAAACGGCCCAATATTTTTGTAAGCCACTTTTTTTCTGGATTTTGTAATCAAATTAATTTCAGATTAAAATCGCCATATTTCCGAGGAGAATGCTAGTAAACACAAAAGTAGTGGGTTACGATAAGCTAAAGCCATTCACGAAATTTCAGACGGATGTCAATTATTTGATTAAAAGGGATTTCTACCGGGGACGATTAGTTCTAATTCAGTGCGACCTAAGTCGAACAGCTTTTATCAGCGTTATAAAAAAAATTGAAATGAAATGAAATGAAAATTAATTAGATTGTGGGACTGAAGTCCCCTTAGAATAACAGTAGAGTTAGAAAAAATATGAACATTAGTCTGGCATGTAGATGTCATACAAAAAATACTAAGGAGATTGTATATATATATATATATATATATATATATATATATATATATATATATATACATATATATATAAAGATACTAAGGAAAATACAAAGCTTAAAAAAAAAAACATTGGTTGGATTTAGTCCTTGTTCGTTTCTCTTAATAAAATTTATATTTAATATGATTATTGTTAGGAAATTTATCAAAAATTACAATAAACTATAAAAATACAAATATAATAATTGAAAATATAAAACTGTAAATTAAATAATATTGAAAGAAATTTCAAAACATTAATTTCTTAAGATGTGTTACATAATGCTAATTTTAAACAATCGATTAAAAAAATATATTTCAGAAACTAGAAATTGGACCTGCATACTGTAAGAAAAGTAAATGTTCAGCATTTCATCTTCTTTGTAATTAGCTATAACTAAACATTATCCCATAACGTGACTCCGTCTTAGAGAGTTGAAAATAGAAAAATAGTGTCTATACCCAACTGATAACGAGTTGTATTACTGATATGGACTAAAATACCTCAGACACTATAAATCTGATGTGGATAATGTAAACAAGGAAAATAGGTAACATTTCACTCTTTTTGTAGTTAGCTATTATTTAAAATTGTATCTAACGTCGTGTCTGAGAAGAGAAAATCAAGAAATAATTTCGAAAACAAACTGATAAGTTCTGTTGAATATATAAATTAAAATATCTAAAAATTTTTATTTTTTTTATTTTATTTATTTATTGAGTATTACAACAATCTGTCTCTTGGACATTGGTTATAGTGAGGTAGGATGACATTCACACTATATGTACAAAAAATATAAAAATAATAATCAAAAGTATATACAATAAATAATAAAATAAAATAACCTAAAAATAAGAAAAATCTAAAATTAAAAATCGAACCTGCATACTGTAAGCAAGAGAAATCTTCAACATTTCATCCTATTGGTAATGAGCTATTATTAAACGCCGTGTTAGGGAGGTGAAAATGAAAAACATATCGTCACTGGTGTGCTTAAAGTAAAAAGAGGCTGGATTTGTATTAAATTTTTATTTTTTGTATTTATATATATTTTTAAATGATTATATAAACCATAATTATTATAGTCCTTAGAATCTGCAGCGGACTTCTAGGAGTAATAATAATAATATGATTTATTTTTTTAAGAAGTATGATTTCACGTGTTTTAATTTTATGTTGCTACATATGTTGTAGAAACTGAATTTTATTTTAGAGAAAACTACTATGCAAAGTTCTGTAAAAAATAATAAGAGACATCAAAAAATTAAGAAAGATAGATGGTGTAAAGTCGGCCTCAAGTTTGCTATTTCTAAAATACACAAGAATCTGAAGATGGGCAACTACGCGGAACGGATTGGTTGCGGCGCTTCAGTCTACTTGACTTCCGTCCTCGAGTACTTGGTGGCGGAAGTCCTTCATCTGGCCGGGGAAGAGGTGAATAAGTCCAAGAAGATGATCCTGCCTAAACACCTGGTCACGTCCATCATGAAAGACAAAGAGTTGAGCTCGTTGCTGTCTGGGGCCATTATCATGGAGGCTGCGCTAGAACCGCACGGAGCTAGAGAGATGGAGAAGCAGTAACCTTTAGCAATGAGTAGTGGAAGATGTAGGTTGGTTTCATTTGTACGTCAACGACAGGTTTGGAGAGAATGTTCTAAGGAATGCGATAACGTAATGTTTTAATATTCTGTATGGCAATGATGTGTTAAAAAGTTTTTTTTAACAATTCCCTTCCTGTGAGGTATATATATATATATATATATATATATATATATATTATATATATATATATATATATATATATATATATATATATATATATATATATATATATATATATATATATATATATATATATATATAATATATATATATATATATATATATATATATTATATATATATATATATATATATATATTATATATATATATATATATATATATATATATATATATATATATATATATATATATTATATATATATATATATATATATATATATCACCCAATAAACGAAACTAACGAATATAATTTTATTTAAAAAAAAATGATGTAAAATCATTTATTTTTTTACTAACAAGCGGATTTACTGTTTCTTCAATTTCTTGGACAATATCTATAAAATATAGTTAATTATAAATGACTTAGATGATATTATTCAAGTTTAGTTAGTTAATTAATTAAAAGCATATGCTAATTAGATACTGTATTAAATTAACTAATCTAATAAGTTTGCTAAACTGACATGAGTTAAACTTAAACTATTTTTTTCAAAAATATATATTTCCATCTTTCTGGATTGAGTTATGGGAGGCACTTTCTACTTGAAATTAGATCTAGAAATACCTCTTGATTTAGTTAATGTTCAGAATGAGAATTAACGTGCATAACATGTTTTACAAAGATTACAAAGAAATCTGGATTATTATTAGTTTCTCCTTCGCAATTTTAGAACTTCTCTTGTTTTTAGAACTTCTCAAAACGTGACTAATTTTCAAGATAAATTATTAAGGATCATGTCGTTGTGGTATTATAAAACACCATAGCAATTTAAGGAGGATAAACAGTAGAATAGTAGAGGAGGAAATTGCGTTGTAGGTTGACTTTATAGATTTTAGCATCAAAGGGCTCAGACGATAGGAGGTATTTTGATATATGGGTGCAGATAGTGGAACGAAACACCGTATTAACCAAGTTTTTAATAATTCACAAATAACTAATCAATTGTAATCATTGATTTATAATATATCTTCTTAGTTTTTAAAAATCCTATTTAAGCATTTGATGAGGCACAGACTAACGAACTTCCTCCGGCAGCTACGTTGTTTCTGTTATATATTTTATTTATTTATCAAATTTTAAAGATATTTAACAGTATTACATTATTGATGAAAATTAAAATAAAAACAATACGTACGTTACCTGGGACTAATATTCGACAGAAGGATGACCTGGGGCCCACACGTCAAAATGAAACGAAAGACCTTAAACAAGCGACTGAAAATACTGTTCTCACGTTTTTCTAAATCGAAATTGAAAGTTCGTCCAAACCTAAATACATACACCTACCTACTCCAACCCATCTGGACACACGCCTCTCAGATTTACGGTTCGGCAAAAAAGACGCACTTACAAAAACTACAGTCATTTCAATTCAATATTTTACGACTTATAACAGGAGCTCCCTGGTACGTCAACAACAAAACTTTACATAACTACTTACGACAACCAACTATATACCAACACATACGTACTTTCTACTCTCGTTTTCATCCCAAACTACACGGACACACAAAAACAGACTTATAAACAACATGGCTACGACTGACATGCCCATCAGGAGGAGACTAAAAAGGAGCTGGATGAGTGATCTCCTCCCCTAAATCAAAGTAATGACCAGGAAGAGGTGCTGCTGGGTACTATCCTTCCTCATGCCTGTAATGCCAACCTCATTATGCCAACAACACATCTGCTGATTGTAATTACCATGACAGGTGCGGATAAACAGTTAAAAAAAATAATAATAATAAGAGCACATATCAAATATAAAAAATGCAAGTATTATAAAATGTTTTGCTCAACGATGTGAAATTAGGCACAATCTTAAATTTGCTTTAAGTAAATTAGTTTAAAATAATTCGAAGTTAGATAACGGTTTTTGAATTGCTTTTCACCTTCTTAATTTAGCGTCGCGTTAAGATACACTTTTGAATAATAGCTCATTTTAAAGAGGATGAATTAATGAAAATTTTCCTCGCTAACAATATGCAGGTCAGATTTTTAGTTTTTTTGCGATATTTTAATCCAGATGCAAAAACAGTTCAATTACTCGTCTCCAGCCGATTTCACCCGAGCACTACACATCAGAGATCTGACGTCTCAATCTAATTCACTCTCCACAAAAAAAAAAAAAAAAAAAAAAAAAAAAAATGTAAGATGCGCCTAAATTAGTTTTCACTTAAAAAAGTAAATAAAAAAAGATTCCTTGTTGGTTAGTACCTTCATTATTTTCATTTTATTTGCAAGTTCTTTCTTTAAAACATATTTACAGTTTGACTGTTCTGATGTGTAGTTAAGGAAGATAAACTTGAGTTGAAAGTATGAAATATTATTAAACATTAGGCGAATTGTTTTCAAACATTTTAAAACTTTTCCATTACGGCTGTTTTTTTAAAAGGAATTTCTTGAAGCAGCTCTAATCCCAGAGCGAAAACACTCCCTTGCTCCGGTGCACTTCACCTGCCAGCCATTTTTCACGAATCCTCCATCCCGTCAAAGACACACACACGAGGCAGTTCCATCTGGTAGAACCTCGCCACCGCGCAAACACACTTAGCTCCAAGGCTCTCCAATATTTTATCAGCCCCTCTTTACATATCCAGGACTTATTCTTCCCCTAGTCAATAGTCCATATATTACAGCCTTTGCTGACCTAGGCTTAGGCTTTGCCGATTTAGGACCCTTCTTAAAGGGTCTTTTATAAGTTACTGTGTGCGGTTTGCTCTTAAAAAAAATTATGTAATACAAATCTAGTGCAGAATAATTAGCATTAAAATAAAAAATAACAGATGTCTGAAGAGACAGTTTAAAGAAAATTAAAAAATCGAACGAATTTGAAGTTTATTTAAAACTTATATATTTATTTGGAACCTATATAGATTACTGTTAAGAAAATGTCAAGTTTCGATTGAGAAAAAATCACTGATCTAAATGGCAATCCCGCAACATATTTGGACCTACCTGTGGAGGGCAGGGAATTTTTTTACATCAAACGCATACAATCTTTTCAGTCCAAAGACCTTCGAATTATATCCAATTCTCCGTTCTATATAACCAAAAAACTCTACACAATGACCTTAAAATCCCATTTGTGCTAGACCTTATCCCATAAAGAAATCCCAAATTTCATCAGGTGCTTATCATCTGAATTCACTTACACAATCCCTATCTAGTACCATCCATCTCTGTAATCCTTCAAGAAGTTTAAAACTGCATTGGCCCAGCGACTTTTTATAGTATGTATTTATTGGTGTTTTGGCAACGGCAAGATTCTCCATTCAAGATGTGAGTATATGTTGCTAAAGCTCTCTTGATCAATCTCAATTGGATTTAGTACCACTAACGCGGTTAAGAGAGTTGCGCAGAGATCTCCTGCACTCCTGCTTTTATCTTCTTAATTGGAAGGACTAGAGTGCCTATGAGTTCCCTCCGCAGATTGTATATAGTGTATAAAGATATGTTTTTAAAATTTTTTATTTGTATTTGCCTCTGCCCTAGAGGTTCATTAGTGGTAATTCTTAATTTTTATATTGAACGGGATATTAAAGGGAAAGGGAAGATATTGTTTTCATTAAATATTGAAAGGGAATGATGACACCTTCCTCCTCGTATCCCAAAATTACCTTCAAGTCGTTGGCAACTTAAATTTTTTTTCTTTTTTTTTCCTATTGGGGACACTCTAGTAATAAATTTTTAACTGTCTGAGGTGTGTTGTCACACTTTTGACAGGTTGGCGCTTCGAGACCTCTAAGAAGGTATTCGTGTGTGAAAATACAGTGTTTAATTTCCATTATTTTTTTTAAAATTAACTTATATATAAGTTATTTTATTTTTATTTATTGTATATACTTATTGATTATTATCTGAGCCTTTCAGTGGACAGAATGACCTAATCCAATTTCAAGATTTTGATTATTAATTTTAATGATATTTCTAGTGAGAAAATGTATACCTTTATTCACAGTTCTATATTTCACATACTCACATACGTAAATTACAAACTTTTCAATCTAAAACTTTCAGGACTATCACCAAGGCTCCCTGGTACCTCAGTAACATTACTCTACATAAAGACTTACAGATGCTAACAGTTAACGACCACATACGAACATACTACAAACGATTTCATAATAACTTACACGGGCATACTAACTCATTGATTCGAGGCATGGCCACAACTAACTTACCCGATAGCACCCGAAGGAGGCTTAAAAGAAGCTGGATGAGGGATCTCCTCCACTAACTATAAATAATACATTCAAGACAGGGAGGATGCCGCTGGGTATTCCTCTCCCTCACGCCTATTCCAAGACATATTAATCTTCTACATCTTGACGTCACACTCGCTGATTGTCGGAACTTCTGACAGGTGTGAGTTGAAGAATTGAGTTAAAAAAAAAAAATTAAACACTAGAATCATATACAATGGAATAAATCAACTTACTCACTATCTGTTCAGATATAAATTTTTCAACTAGAAATCTCAATAAAATGATTTTACTCATAAATGTTGAAATTGGTGTTAGTCATTCTGTCAACTAAAACGCTCATTTAGTTGTTATTTTGCTTCTGTTTATGTTATATTTTCTGTTTATATAGTGTAAAATTAGTCTTTTCTCACTATGATCATTGTCGATGTGACCGAATGTTCTGATACACAATAAATAAATGCAAAAAAAATAATATACTTAATCAAATGGGATCAATACATGTACCTATTAATTATAATTAAATAATATTAACGTGTACCAAAAAAATAGTATAATTATTAAGTTATAAAATTATTATTTATACAATAGTTTTACTACTTTATTCAGGACTAGACCATTCCACACCAAGATTTTACCATAGGCTCTTATGAACTTTTAGTGAGATTTTTTAGCTCAAAAATATATCGTCGGTTTATTGCAATAATTCATTAAGTGATATTTCATGATCTTAATTCACTAATTGATTTGAAGAATTTTCCT